GTTCAGGCAACGGCAGGAAACGCAAATACGGCTGTGAGGCCTGCAGGTACCGAGCTGCTCGCTGTCAGGTCGGTTCTGGCGACACCTGAGAGCCTCCGCAGCTGAACCAACCGGATCTGCTTCCATTTTATCCTCGTTTAACTCCGTAAACAGCTGCAGCATCAGAGTCGAGGCTACAAAGTCGTTAGCGGCTGCTCGGTGTCGCTTTGACGTAAGCAGGCAGCAGCTTCACGCTTCAGTCTGTAAAACGCCTCAATGCAGCAGATTTAACAATACAGTCGCCTCCAGAGCTCTGCTTCAACCCAAACCTAAACATGCAACAGCAAAGTGGACACAACTTGTAAACTGGACAACTTTGGCAAGAAACATCCCAAACTACATCTTCAACACAAATTGGCTACAGCCCACTGAAAGCAAACTTACACAAATAAACCTCCAAACTATAAACGCAGATGTTTTAAAATCCAAAACAGATTTTTAAAGACAGGTTGCATATCAGGAAAAACTTTACAGAGTTTTTTTCTCTCTAATATCAAAAGCACAACTGATTATCAGCCTCATTTCGGGGACGATATTCCGCATTTTCCCGACAATCAGAATCGTTTTTTTGTTTTGAGCTCAAGTTTCACTCATTAATGACCACGGCAGTCTTTGTCATGGTGCCCCTTTACTAGCTAAACTCCCACAATCCTCTCTGCTCTCCAACATCAACTGTCTGTAGTCTGAGTGAGGCCTCCTCTGGTCTCTACAGTATTAAACAGCAGGAGGCTCCACCTGGTGGAACAACCAGGTACTACAACTGAAGATTGTTCTCTTATTGGAAGCAATTATTTTTACTATTATTATTTTATTTGTTTAACTCAACACAGCGTTGAAAAATGTGATGAATACATTTGTATCTTGTGCCTTGCGTTGCGTTTTTCCTCACCACATACAACAACACAGACGAGCGGCCCCCAGCAGGAGGACGTTGACCACAGAGACAAGGAGCCAGCAGAGGTTTATCCAGGGAGCATTGTGATAGCAAGCAACTTAGCTCGCTAGCTTGCTAAGTTGAAGGGTGTCATTCTTGTGTGTGGAACAACCCGTCTGCTGAGCACTAAGATCTGCCCTGGCCAGTGATGTAGCTGCTTTTCTCCTGGGGCGAGTAAATCAATCAGTATTCACAGTGTACTTGCAAAAAAATGAATTAATCATGTTGTTGACATCACCAGAGAATCTCAACGCTGATTGGCCATCGCAGCACGTCAGATCACCTAAAGTTCAGATTTTTCAATTTGCTCCATTCGTGCGTTTAACGCGGTGAGAATCACATCAATCGCGCAAATAAACTCGCTCAATTTGCGTGACGTTTACTCGTGTCTAATCGCGTCTTCACATTGACTTTACATGTACATCATTTGCGCGAACGATTTTAATCGCGTCTGGTGTGAACACAGCATAACTCTACATATAGACGATGTCCTTCTGGAGGTTTAGGTTCAAGACAACCTACAGAACGTTAAGGAACAGTTTACATCGCATTGATTTTAATAACCTTAATGTACTTGAAATGTGTATTATGTTTAAAAAGAGGGATCAAATTCGGACTTTGTATCGGCAAATACTAAATAATAAATGACGCGGATCAGATCTCCTCCTTCAGGAAATTCCTATACATTTTATTTTATAACATTTGATTTATTTTACAGGAAAAGCTGTTGTAGCGTTCTGAATGCTGGTAGGCAGTCGAAAAAGCAGGACTGTGATTTTTGTAGGTACAGTGGTGCTCTTTTACAGCGTTGTTTTTTTTGTTTTTTTTAATTCCTCTTGTGAAGACTTCACACATTTCAGGTGAACTACTTTCGCAAATATTTCAGAATACGCCCATTTCGAGCCTCGAACGCTGAATTTCCTGCGTATCTGCAGTGTTTTAATGCAGCGCTTTGTTCCTTTCCCCCGTGCTAATTTACAGCGGAAATGTCTTTATCCGTGCAAAGAAAAAAAACCACCAGGTGACGATTCCAAATGTAATGGAACATAAACGCAGAGAGGCTCTCAGACATTTGGTGCTTCTGCTTTCAAATATTTATCCTCCTGCGGATCAATTTTTCTCATTTGATATTATCCCTGCTGAGTCAACACACACACACACACACACGGCCATGATTTACTTTCCTGTCTGCTTTTGTGTCTTTTGTTTGCAGAAGTAACCTCGTTCGATGCGCACGTGACACTTTTTTTATATCAGTGATTAGCATTTGAATTATAAGCCTTTAAAAAGCTCACATTTCTGCTCGTGTCCAAACTTTCCTGCACGTTCTGCATGTTTCTGTTTGATACAGCGAAAGAAAAACACCCGCCTCGGTTCTGAACATGACTGCAGACGTATCTCCCTTCGAATCTACACCTGCGATTACGTGCAGCTTTATCCTGATTCAGGGTGCGTTCGAAGCCCCTCGGCTCCGTGGGGCGTTTCAGCGTCTGGTGCTTTCACTCCGACTTCATCTGAGCATCACTTCAGCTGCTGTTTACTCTCCTCAAACATGTCAAAATTACCTCCAGACGCGCAAGTTTTCCGGATATTTCCGGGCAGGTTTGGAGTCTTAAAAGAAGTCCAGAAGTGACGTGAAGGGACTAGCGAGCCCGAAGACGAAGTTTTTATCGCTCATTAACACGATGATTTAAGGGATTTATGATGCAGTAAAATGTCTTTAATTCCTCGTGAGTTCTTCTGGACGGATGGCCGTGAGAGACTCGAGGGTTTTATTTGCAGACTAACTTCTTCTTCTTCTGCGTCTTCATAAGTTATGGGATATTTCCACACGCGCTGACTGATCCGTCTGTCTGTGGGCATGCGGCTGCATAAATACGAACAGAAAACTAACAAAATAACAGAAACCGGCAACAGAATTTTATGATTTAAACAGATGATCACAAACGATATTAGTATGCAGTCATGGAAGTGGTTGACCATAAATGCAACAGCTTCAACGTGCTGCATTCAAAAAAAGTACTATCAGCAAACTAAAGTATTAAAATTAAAGTACAATCTATGCAGTAAAATGCCACTGATTGGGAAATTTTCCCGATCCGATCACAAAAATTGGCATTAATGAAGCCAATTTTACGTCATCAGTATCGGCTTTAGCCTAAATTCAATCCTTTGTTTACTGTCGCACAGGTGTCCTGAAGAAAAAAGCTTTGATTCTGAACAGACGCTAGCGATGCTCGTTATTATTAATGTTCTTAATTGATAGCATTATCGATCAATAATAAACTGATAACGCATCTGTTTTGGGCTGAAATTGGGCCACATTTAGCGAAACGGTTAGCGACCCATGACGTTAGCGTCTTTGCTGCTAATGGTGCTATTCAAAAGCAGTGACGGTAGAGAAACTGCATGGGCGCGTGTTGTTAAATATTTTCCCGCTACGTACCCTCAAAAACAACATAACGACCCAATTTGCAGCCAAATTATTTCAGGCAGCAGCGTAACGGGCCGTTACTGCGTTATAACGATGGCGAGAACCCTGATAATACTCTCCGCATGATAACATGAACTACCTGTAGTCTGACTGACAGTATTACAGTATTAAACAGTAAGAAGCGCCTGGTGGAGCAACCAGGTACTGCAGCTGAAGATTGTTCTCGTATTGGAAGCAATTATTTTCACAATTATTATTTTATTTGTTCATAGCGTTCGCGATAATCGTTCGATCTCCCATGCCATGTCAAAAACGTGATAAGTACATTTGCATCTTGTTCCTCGCGTTCGAAATTTTTTAAGGTGTCTCACGTGTTTACAACGACTACACAATAAAATATTAGAATATTTCAGGTCTTGTATGAAGTTTGTAAACAGTTTAGTAAAAGTTTCTTATTTCAGTAAATGTAAAAGTACGAGGTAAAAAAAACTCTGTACAAAAACAAACAGGGTGTCTGAGATTTTTTTTTTTAAAGTAACGCTCAGAAACTGTAAAAAATTACAGCAAATATCTGTAAAACAACTTTTTTCTCTTTTATTTAACTAATTAAATTCATTAAACTAATTTTCTGGTCACATTGTTAGAGAACAAACTACTATTTTTAAAAACAAAGATTTTTCATGTGGATGTTAGTTTTTTTTTGTTTGTTTTTGTTTACAGTTTCCAGGTAAAAACTTTTCTAGGTATTATCTGTAATTTATCAAAACAGGGAAATTTGTCAAACAACAGCTAAAGAAACCTAACCGACCATTTTCCAGTCTGTAATATGCATATATTTGATTTGAAATAACAGAAAATAATGATTTTCGCTCGCGTAGTGTTTAATTTCTATTACTACTAGTTAATAATTCTTTATTGAACTTAACACAGCTTTTGGTTTATTGGTTTAGATGTTGTTCTGGGCACTATAATACAGATGCATTGATGGTGTCCTTCACTTCTTACCCAATAAAATAATAGAGTTTGAATTAAAGCTTTTAAAAAATTTAAACGTAAATTGCGATATTTATTGTAAAAATCGCATTTAAATATTTTCCATAAATGTTTCTGCTCTAACTTGATGCTTAAAGTATTTGAAACGTGTTTCTTGCCCTCTGCTGGGGCTTCACCTGGAGCTCACCTGCTCCCGATCGATCATGTTCACTGGAAACCAATCAGGTGATCGATGATTGAACTGCGGCTGCGCCTACCTGTCCCACCGAGCGAACAGGTGCACAGAGGAAACTTGGCGCAGCCGCAGGTAGACTCACCTGGACGGACTCTACCTGCAGCTCCAGCCCCCGCCGCGGCTCTCCGGAGCCTCGGCAGCCGGGAAGCAGCACTTTGTTCCCGCTGAAAGCTGCGCTCCACGCCGGAGGGAAACTTGGCGGCTCCCGTGAGCTGCACTTCACGCAAACACACCTTGAACGCACCTTTACCGCAGCACGCCGTCCCGAAGCACACCGACAACAAGCACGCACACAGCGGCTGAAGTTGGCCGAGCCGAGCGGGACAGCGGCGCCCCGAAAACTGTCACCAAAAGCGGCCACTTACCTCCAGCGACCGTCCGCGGAGCACCGGGAGGAGGACGGGAGGGCGGCGGGCGGAGAGCTCGGCGCGTCCGGAGCCTCAGAGGACAGTTTGCCGCCGCAGCGTTTGCGTCCGAGAACAGTGAATTAAAGTCCCGCTCCGGTGTCCGGTCGGCGGCTCGCAGCGCTGACTGAAGCGGCGGCGGCGGCGGTCTGCGGGAGGCTGCGCGCAGGGAGCGGAGGCTGCGGCCGCGCATGCGCACCACGGCTGCTACTGCAAAAACAGAGATCGTGTAACAAGGCGGTGATGAGCTCTGAGGGGAAGTCTGGAGACCAGACAGGCTGACCAGAGTTCAGCAGCTGGCCAGAGGAGATGTGTTCACTATAAATAGCTTCTACCTACAAATATACACCTTTCAGTACTTCATATATATATCTATAAACAGGTTTGGATATATTACTTTTATTTCTAATTATATTACAGTATAAGTTACAATATTTTTCCAAACCTCTCTGATTTTGTGTTTTCCACTCATGAGTTGACCAGCTGGGCAAAGGTCATGTGTTTCTACCGAAAACTATTCATTTGGTTATCCTTAATACATATCTTTGAATAGTTTAGATATATTACATATACATTTAACTATATTATGACAGAAGTTAAAATATTTTTCTTAACTTTTGTCTAATATTTAATATTGCTTTCTCCATTCATGAGTTCACTAACTGGGCAAAGCTCGTCTGTTTCTACCTAAAAAAAAAAAAATACATATGTTTATATTATATGTAATTTAAATTTAATTTAGGACTTTAATTTTTTTCTTGAAATTTGTCTCATCTTTCTTCCTAAAATTCTACATGTTTTGATATTTTTTTTCATCACAGTAATTTATATTATATATACTTTTAATATATT